CCGACATTCCTCATTCCTTCATGCTCACTCTTATCCTCAAGACCAATATATACCGTGCACCAACAAGTGTGTGATTTGACATATTGTCTGGTATACTTCAAATGTTTGCCAACGTGCATACCAGTTTTTTCTGGTTGAAAAGATAAGGCTTGATGATTATTATCCTAATGCCGATAACGCTCACATCCTCATGCCGATAACGCTCACATCCTCACAAAGGAGGTGCTACCACCTGCATTCCAGGTTTTTCACATTAAGAATGAAAGATTCACTATGGGTCAGATTAGGGTATTATAGCATAAGAAAAAGATGGTCTGAATACAAGGAAAGCATAATAAACACAAACAAAAAGCAATAAATTCTTGAATACATAGTACTCATTTCTTCTAACAGGTTCAGGTCCACCATTTGGATGTGAACTGCTAAGCTTTAGAGGAGGCAGTAAAGTACTATCAGATCAAAAACCTGCTTACTAGTTTCAGACATAAGAGGAGAGAAAGAGAAGGCATTTTCACCAACTTTATAAGGAAGTAAATTGGGGCACCAAGATGTGATGGGATTTGCCCCCTTTCAAATAATTATCCATGTGTAGGCACAAAAAAAAATATGATTGGTTCAGGCAAGAGCTCAACATGGGGCCTCCAGTCTCCTAGGCAGACTTTCTCCATCATTATATCACCTTATCTAATTTACTTAATACATTCTCAGCTCTTCTCTTCATGCCTTATTCTCTTGATTCCTATAAGGAGGCATGCTTATATGGAAGAAAAAGGCCAGTTTCTATTCTACATACACAGCATTTGGGATTCTAGGTAGCAGGGAGTTATAGAAAGTGGTAATAACAACTCAAACTTCATCATCTCTTTAAGGTTTGCCACTGCTTTGCTCACAACAAACCCATGAGGTACGTGGTGTAAATATTATTACAATCCCCATCAGTTTCCAGCAATATCAGATTCAGGATCTGCCTGAGTCCGGGGTCTTAACTCCACTATTCTACACTGTAATTACATAAATATTTGACATGTTGCATCTGTTTTCTGTAAATAATCAATAAAATCTCTTGTACCCTAGCACTCCCCCATGAGAATCCTAAGTGGAGGACTACACCCACTTGGAACAACTGAATGTCATGTGCTTTTGGACGGATGACGAGAGATGTTTCCTGTAAGAGAATCGGATGAGTCCTGATAAGATTTAACGTATTACGTGTGTACACACACACACACACACACACACACACACACACACACACACAGAGTTACTGGAATAGACTGATTGCATATATTCAGCTAAATTCCCTTGAGTAATTTCACATAGCATTTAGACTCAGCACAGCGAAAACACACACTAGGCCCAGAGAAAAAGGAAACACGAACTTTAAAGCTTCAGAGTCTTGTTCCCCTGAACCTGAATCCTAAATAACAGCCTAAATTCCAGCAAAATGTAAACACCTTGAGGGTTGGAACAATGTCGTCTTCTCTCCTTTCACTTCTAGCATTTAACAGAGTACCTTGCAGTAAAAAGTTAATAAATATCTGTGGAATTAAATCATTAACCGTCCTAGGAGTTACCTATGCCAATTAAAATATAGTACAGGAAAGAAGCAAACAAGCGTTTATTTAATGTCTATGTGCCAAGCACTGTACTAAGCACTTTATAAAAATTATTTCATTTGATTCTTATAACAACCCTGGGAGGTAGGTAGCTATTATTATCCCCATTTTACAGATGAGCAAACCAAGGCAAAAGAAAAAAAATAGGTGATTTACCCTAAGTCACAGGGCTAGTGTTGGAAGCTGGATTTGAACCCAGGTCTTAGTGACCCCAGGCCCAGAGCTCTATCCACTTTGTCAGCTAGCTGCCTCTTAGTATAACATCGACCCATCCCCATCCATCTGATTCCTCAATATGTTTATTGAGGTCAACAGTTATTCATTCATGCCCACCATCATTCTAGAACATATGATGGGGAAAAAAATTCAGAGAGCTTAACAATCCAATTAAAAAGACAAGATTTTTATGTACGTATGTGTATTTACATTCGTTCACAAGCACAACAATGCTTAAGATCTATGATTTCATCAGTGTAGAAATTTAGAGATAAAATTCTCAGTATAGAAATTTCCTCTACATAGGCAGATCAAAATTCATCTATGACTTATTTAGCAGATGGGTCTTACGGAGGTGACTGAAGCCCAGAAAAGTTGAGTGACTTGCTCGGGGTCATGTGGTAAGCCAGTGCCAAAGGTAATATTCAAACCAAGATCTTCAATCTAAACTATAATCCAAGAAAGGTAATATCAGTATACTAGAGAGAGCACTGAATTTGGAATCAGAGGACCCAGGTTCAAATCCTGTCTATGAAGTTACCTGTGTGATCTCAGGTAAGTTGCTTAAGCCCTCTAGACCTCAGTTTCCTCAGTTTTAAAAATTAGTAGCTTGGACTAGATGGTCTCTGAGATCCCGTCAGTTCGAGGTCCTATGACTGTATGATCCATTCCATCTAATCAATCAATTAGTATTGCGTAATGTGTACTAGGCACTGTACTAGGTACTTGGGATACAAATATATAATATTAGAGAGCCCCTTTCCTGGCTAGAGAACTACAACACATGCAGAGAAACCAATGCAGAATATATGCAAAATAAATACAAAGTAAATTCAGGGACAAGAATGCATTAACAGCTAATGGAATCAGGAAAGACCTCTTGGATCTTTCTCTTTATTTCGTATATTTTTACATCCGTGTGTTATATCTCTATCAATGTCTGAACCTATGATTTTATCAGTGTGGGAAATGTGTAGAAATTCCTTCACTGATGCAAATAGACAATTAGTCTGTAACTTGTACAGTTGCTTGGGGGCACTGAGGGGTTAAATGACTTACCCAGAATCCCACACCTAGGAAGGGTCAGAGGCAGAACTCTAACTAGGTTTTCCTGACTCCTCAAACAGGCCTATATATTCACCATGCCATCCAGCCTCTACATACATACCAAAATACCCACCGAAAAACAAACCACAAGCAAAACCATGTCTTAGCAAGTGTAATGAATCCTATGTATCCCTTCTACTTTCTATTCTAATTGTCATCTCCCAAAATTGTGCCTTTAATACCTTTCACCTGGAATTACTACAGTGGTATCTTAACTCATCTATCAGTCTCCAGGGCTTCATCCCTCCATACCTGCACACTACTCCTGGAATAATCAGCCAACAGCATAGCTTTAGATCAGACCTGCTCTAACACTTCCCCTGTTTGCCTATTGCTTCAGAATAAAGGTTAAACCCTTAATTCATTCTTATGAGGTTAGGAACTTGTTTCTACAAATTTCCTGACAAATGATCAAAGGATTTTGAGTTAGGAGGAACTTTACTGATCACCTAGGAGATCATTCAAAAGACCGCACATACATTGGACAGTTGGAAGACCTAGGTTTGAAATCTGACCACAGACATTCACCAGGCAGGTCAACATGAGCAACTCATTTAATCTCTCAGACTCAGTTTCTTCATCTGTTAACTGGGAATAACAATATTTGTACTATTATCTCACAGGGTCATTGTGAAGAAAAGTACTTGGTAAACCTGAAAGCACTCTATTTAAGTTATTATTATTAAACCCAACCACATCCTTATTTTTGACACCGGAGAAAACTGGGTCCCAGAACGAGAAAGTGATTTGTACAAAGACACACAATTATTAAGTAGCATTTTTGAGGCTAGTGTTACCTCTACTACACCACACTGCTCCCCCCAAAATGTTATCCATCTTTCACCCTCTAATAATGAGAAACTGACCATGTTTACACTTTGGGACAATCTCTGATTGTTAGGAAGTTTTTTCTTCCAAGAATCCATGCCATGCTATTACAAAGAACAGCTGGGGTGTCCCGGGAACAGGAGAGAAAAGGATACCTAAGCAGTTGTAGGGATATGACAACTGTAGAAAGGGAGTTCAGAAAAAGAAGTGGAAAGGCACAATGTTTCAGTTTGAGGAAATCAGTCAATGTGTCATATCCCTGGACTGCCAGGAAATACAAGCAACAGCCTAAACCAGCCAGCCAGGCATGTGCTGGAATGCTGCCCAGTCCATACGTGGAACAAAAATAGCATATCCATGAAATATACCAATTCAACAGATAGGGCAATATTGTGTGCTAGGTATTAGTGATACAAGAGATAAACAAGACCCTCTAAAATACAACGCTTATGGCCCTTCAAAAAAATAATAAGGATTTACTATATCCAATAGGTTCTTGTAACGATGAATTTAGAGATTGTTCCAGGGACCCAAGACACAAAGCCCCCAGATATAACTCTTCCATTCGCTTTCTCCCTTCTACCCAGCACATTACACAAACTAGCCCGAAGGCTTACCTAAATAAAGATTTTTCTAAGACTCTTAGAAGATTCCGAGAAATTCATAGGGATACTGGATGGGAGATAAGGGAATAGGACATTTCTCTCTGCGTTCTCTTGCTATTTTCCCTCTCGAGCTGGCACTGGTGAGAATTGCAGTGAGCGCTCTTTTTTGAATACTATAGGCCCTCAGGAGTCATCATTCCTCCTAATCCCAGATCTTCTGTCCTTAGAGGCAGTGGGTCTGGGCACCAGGGTGGGATCAGGCAGAGAAAGATGCTGTCGTTCTGGTTCTTATGCCACAAACCTGGGGGCCCCCACCCCAGACTATTAAATTGCCTGTTGAGGTGGAGAGGGACCTCAGGAGAGGTTTAGAAGTCTCAGCACCATAGGGGCTTCTAGATATATGGTTGGTTATGTCTATGCGATAATCTAGCTCTGACATTTTACACACAATGGGTGCTATAGGAATGTCTGCAAATGGTAACAATAGATAAATATTGCCTCTGCTCTCAAAAAGCTCCCAAAAGAAAGTGCTCGCAGCCAATGAGAAAGCCCAGCTCATCACTATCCCCCAAACCCGGCACAGTCCAGTATTTCCATCCAAACCAGCCTTCTTCTGCTTCTCCCTTACCTTCATTGAAGGTATCTTCAGCAGAGATGTGGGTGAGCGGGGACTGAGGCCGGGAGTCCCCACACAGGGAGTAGCTATGCTCTGCCTGGATGAGAGGAGCAGGAGAGGCTGGAGATGGCTCCACCTCCATCATCTCGTTCTTCTCAGAGAGGAAGGGGTCATTCAAAAGCTGGCCCAGGACATTCTGGGAAAACTCATCCAGAAGCTCTGTAAAATGCTGTAAAACACAGGATGGTAGAACTCAGTTTCTGATAAATCAATGACTTTATGAAGAAGCACAGTTAGGGTGGGTCGGTGGGGCTTTGTCCCAAGTGACATTAAGGGTATACAATCCCTCACTGCAACAGTCCTCCAACCTACCAGACCAAATGCCATCCTCAGAGTACAGCTGCCATAGCACCCTCCTCCCAGGACCCACTAGCGTACCCCCAATTTGCCCCCTCTATCTTCCTGTCTTCTCCAACAAGAGTCAGGGGTTGAAGGCATGGGCTAGATTCTAGGGAATTGCCTGTTCCCTCTCCCAGTGGTTTCCAGCTGGGGAGGATTGTTTTTCTTTGCCCTGAGTTGTGTTGCTGGGCCTGGGGACCCACGTTATACCTTTTGTGAGAGATATCCAGGACTCATGGTAATATTGAGATATTCCATTGAGGATTTTTCCTAAACCCCCAGTGAGCTTTCCTTATCCAGTCCATCCTCCTCCTTCCCCTAGCAGCCTTTCCAACCATGGTATTCCAGACTTTCTGCCCAGAGGAGCCATCCTGGGGTCTCCTTCTTCCTCCAACCCACAGTGGTGCCTCAGTCTTGAAGAATCTTATGCCCCAAAGTCTGAGCTCCCTCCTCAACTGAATTTTGCCCAGGCACCAAAATTCCTGGTCACAGCTGTGACCTGCTATGTACCCTCTGGGACCTAAGAAGAAAATAACTTCCTGAAAATTAGAATTGGCCAGCACAAGCTAATGACTCCATGAGACATTAAGAAATAATCAAAGTCAAAAGGAGAAAATGTAAAATATCTCACAGAAAAAACAACTGACCTGGAAAACAGATTGAAGAGAGATAATTTAAGAATTATAACCTAACCCTAATTAAAACTTTATTTCTTTTTACAAAATAGCTAATGGTAATTGTAAAAAGCTAGAAATAACCTAAATATCCAAAAATAGGAGAGATGGCTAAATAAATTATGGCACATTAATGTAATGAAGTCCTATAACGCCATTAAGACCAACAAGTATAAGGAATACAGATAAGCCTGGAAAGACCTTTATGAAATCATTCAAAGTGGCACAAGTAGAGCCAAAAGAATGCATTACATACTTATAATGACTAGGAAAACTGAGAGTAATTAAAGTGTCCTGAATGCAAAGTATTTAAAAAGAGTGATAGAAAAGTAGTTATTTGACACTTTATTTGTCCTAATTAAGCTGTCAATGGTTACTTATTCAATGTGATGTTCAATGTTGTTTTAAATTTTAAAAAGCATTCAATTAAAAAATAAAGAGGACATATAGAAAACTGTCTTCCCCGCACTGATTATCAGACACTCAATTGGTTCAATATGAAAAATAAGTACTAGTTCCCTCCATCTTCTCAGAATTCTCTGAATACCTGTAACAATTAGGGACAATTTGGTGGCGTGGATAAAATGCTGAAATTTCTGGGAATCAGGAAGCCCTGGGTTCAAATCCTTTCTCCACCACTTCCTCCCCTGTGTGACCTGGAGCTAGTCGCTTATCGTTTCTAGACCTCAGGCCCTCATTTTTAAGACAGATGAGTCAGAATAGATGATGTCTAAAGTCTCTACCAGCTTGAATTTTATGATTTGTTGTTTCATAAATTGGCCTTCAAAAAGCCTCCAATCTTGTTCCATACAACATATGGGTATTTTGAATGAGAGGTTCTGCAATGCTCCAGCAATCTTTCAGTACCATAGTAATGATGTCCTCAGAGAGTTTCTTTACTTTAATACCATAAGCTTCTCTTCTAAGTTATATGAAAATACCCTCCCACCACTTCATAATTCTGACACTCAGGTCCTTTTTTTTTTTTTCCAAGCTAACAGAAACACCTTCCACAAGGTCTCCAAGTGCATCAGCTTATGTGAAATTCCATTAAAAACAAAAAAGTGTACTGAAGGAAAAGTGTGGAATTTTGAGGTTTTTGTCCCATCATCCATGGGACAAGCAAAGGCTTTACAGCATAGAAGAAAGATCACTGGACTGAGGGTTCTGGTTTTCGTTTCGGCTCTGCCAATAATCATCACCTTAAGCAAGTCACTCCAATTCTCTTGAGTTTCCAGTTCCGTCATCTGTCAAATGAAAGGGTTGGGCTTGATGATTTTTAAGATTCCTTCTAGTGTAAACATTCTATGATTCTAGGGGTGTGAGATAAAAGATTTGGAACCACCCATCAGCGTACATAGGAAAAGTAATTCCTCAAATCCACCCACTTCTACGGTAGTTTTTATAGATGGTTTCTTTTCAAAGACAGCCCCTTCAAAGGCCTATTTAAAAAAGTACCAATTTCCCATACATCCAGGCCACCAAAGCCACCTTCAGTCCACTTAACGGGGCCTTTAGCTTGAACCCTTGTTTGGTCCACTCTAGCCCTTAGTTTATTAGATAAATATTATTAAAGAGTATTATTAGATAATTATCATTTATAATGGAAGGAGATGCCCACGGTCAGAGGCATTGGGATTGTTCTATTCCCAAATCAGAGAACTCAGTGCTCCTCCTACTCCTGATAATCAAGGACTCTAAGCATTGGAAAGGAGGTCAGATATAATTTATTCCAGACTATATCTCAACAAGATTCTCCCTCTGTGTCACCTCTCCTTGAAAACCTCCAGTGAAGGGAAATCCGACATCCAGCAAGACAACCCACCCTACTTTGGACAATGCTAATCATCTGGAAGTTTTTCTTCACATCTGGCCTGCGTGTACCTCCAGCTTCCTGCAGCTTTCACTCACTGCTTCCAGTTCAAACAGCTTTTTAGAGCCAAGCAGAATAAATCTAATTCTTCTTCCAAGCGTAACCCTTCAGATCATTACAGACTGCTATCATGTCCTCTCTAAACTAATCATTCCCAATTCCTTAACATATGCTCAAATGACATACTCTCCACTCCTCTTCAGCACATGCTAGAGTTTATCCATGCTCTTCCTGAACTGGAGCACCCAGAACTGAACCCCAGTCCCCCAGGAGGGATCTTACTAGATCGGAGATCAGCTATTTCCTCTCTTGTTCTTGACAAGCCATCTTTATTAACATAGCCCGAAAATTCATTGACATTTTTGGCTCTGCCATGCCATACTGGTAACTCATATTGAGCTTGTAATCCACAAAGAGGCAATGTAGTACAGTGGAAATAACCTTGGACTCTGGAGTCAGAGGACCTAGGATGAAATCTTACCATTGACATTTACTACCTGTGTGGCTTTGGGCAGTTAACTTACCTCAGTCTCAGTTTCCATGAGAGGGTTGAAGTAGACATCCTCTTAGGTTGCTTCAAACATCTAAGCATTGGAAGGCACCCCAGACATCATTTATTCCAGACTGTATCTCAACAAAAATTCCCCCTCTGTATTACTTCTCCTTGAAAACCTCCAGTGAAGGAAAATATGACATCTAGCAAGACAACCTATCTATGGTCCTATGGTTTTTCTCATAGAATTTCTGGTCGCATCTCTCTGCACTCCATATTTGTGAAATTGATTGTTAATGCACGGGTAACTTATATTTATCTGTATTCAACTTCCTCTTATTCAATTTTGCTGATAAATGTGGCTAGCTAAAATTTTAAAAATGCTGACTTTGCAATCTAGATATGTTAGCTATTCCCCCCGAATGAATATCACTTGAAAATCTGACAAATATGGCTGCCTCAAAATAACTGATAAAAATATTGAAAAGCACAAAGCCAACAAATCCCTGAGGTCCTCCATCAGACACCTTTCTCCTTCTTTACGACAATTCCTCTTTGACTCTAGCCACGAAATCAGTTTTGAATTCTCCTATCATCTAGCCTATATTTATCTTGTCCACAAGGATAGCAAGAGAAACTTTTTCAGCAAATGCTTTGCTGAAACTGAATTATGTTATGTCTACAATATTCACTCTGAGTTATCAGTCTAGTTACCCTGTCAAAGAAATACATTTGGTCTGGCATGACTTATTCTTATTGAAATTACACTAGCTTTTAGAGTTCAATGTTTCTCTTTCTAAACGCTCATGAAGTATCCCTTTAAGTACAGGTTCTAGAATTTCACCAAGAACAGAAATTAGGTCCACTGGGCTATAGTTTGCAAACTCTGTCCCATCATTTTTTTTAAAATCAGGACACTTGCACTCTTCAATCCCATGACACCCTTCTCATTCTCTAAAACATTTCAAAGTTCACCCATATCAGTTTCAAAATCATGCCTACCCATTTTTTCAGTACCATAGAATGTAGTTTGTGGTGAACTAGGGACTTGAATTCATTAAGAGCAATTAAATGCTGTCTAATTGCCCCATAGAGAGCAGGTCTCCACACCCTGCAGCTCTCCTTCCCAATCCAAAGGTCATTTTTCTTGGAAAAGAAAACAAAAAATGGTGAATAGCTCAGTCTTCTCACCAGAGTCAATTATCCTCATCCCATCCACCTTAAAAGGCAGTCCTAATCCTTCTTCGGGCTTCTCTTCTGGCTTTTAAAAGGTGGTTTTGTTTTTGTTTTTGTTTTTTAAATAATGCCTTCTTGTTGTTGTTTATCACCAGTCTCAGCTGATTATGGTCTTTAGAGCTCCAGACTTGAGTCTCATAGGACCATATGTACCACTCTCTTGAATTAGCCTTTCATTACCCCTAGAGTCTCCCTTTTTCATCATCTGGAGTAATTTATGCTTATGTCTTCAGAACTTCATTCTGGGGAGCTTCTTGTCCCTCTGGGTTTGACCTTCTCTGCAGAATATTAGGTCATTGAATTGAATTCTACCTATCCTTCCGAATGCCTTGAAATCCACTCTCTCCACTTGTAGGCTGAACCTGAGGCTGCCTGTCTGTCTTCACCTTCTATACTGTGGACTCTATAATAGACAAGCCACTTGCCCACAATTTAACATCATTCTATTTCAGCAACTAGTCATTGTTGGTAAGAATCAAGCTCAGAATAGTAGCCCCTCTAATCGCTTCTTCCACCTTCTAAAAGGTAGACAGTATGATGTGTCAGTAAGCTTG